AACTGTTTTGTTATGGCTTTAAGAAGTCACACTCTGTCAGTATTTTGATGATAGTCGATATGTCCAACATTTTTGTTGCTCTCTTATATTTTTTTTGTTCTCAGCTCAGGTGTTTACACTCTGTTTACCTGTTTAATCAATCTGAAAAGAAGGTGTTTGTTTTTTTTAATTGAATTACCACTATGCATTTTACCATTAAAAGGAAGTTATATTACTTTTTATCGTAATATTCACGCAAATGAAGCCTGTCAGATTAGTTTCTTCATGTTCTTGGAATATTACTTTTTTTGCACGTATTTTTATCGTTTGTTTTTACTCATCTGACGAATGGGAAAAAAAAGTCAAAAAAAAGATTATTTTTGCAATTTTTAAGAAAGTATATGCAAAAAAAAAACGGTAATCTTGTTGTGGTTACTGGCTGATAGAAGCAAATTATAAAAGGTTTTGAGTTTTTTGGATTTAAGAAATGATATTGCCAGAACTGTATAGTCCAAAATGTGGTCGTTTTGACATTGTCGGGCCCGTATCTCAGCTAGAAAATGGCAGACATCATCTGTTTGAAGAGGAGTTGATAGAAGAAAAGATGATTCTATGAGTATACAAAAAGTATACAAAAAAGTATACAAAAAATAGTGCAATTTAACAGGTCTTGGTCTAGATTGATGTTACCGGGGCTGTCTGTTTGAAATCGTATGCCATTATCGGTCCGCTTATGGAGCTACTTGTAGTAGACAGTTTTTGCTATCAAAATTTTCAGCTGCATATTAAGCTTGTATTTGACTGTGTCTGTTGTGAAAATTCTTGGTGCTTTTGTAATTCATAAAGTGGAACTCTCCCAAAAAGCAAAAAACTGCATAAACTGTGTTATTAGGATTCTGAGCATTTTCGGAAACCTTGTAGATGAGTTATTGAAAGGAAAGTATTCAAGTCACTGACAAAAATAAAAAAATTTTTTGTGTTGGACGTTTCGTATTGAAGCAAAGTCATGGTTTCTTCAAAGGTATTGTACAGCAGTTAAATCAGTAAGCTCCAGATACACAGCTGGAGTGTTGTAATTATACGAATATTTTTGAATTGAAGAACAAATTGTCAAGAACGGTGAAACTGTAATTGAGACATTTTTGTAAGTGTGAATCTGAACTTGCTAGATTTTTAGGTGGTATTCACTTGACGTATTTGTTTTCCATTGTACCGAGAAGATCGTAAGTGGAGTTGTTAAGCTACGGAACAAACCTAAGGTATCATTGTGCAAGTTTTAACTTGAATTGGTCTAGGAAACTTTTATATTTTAATTTATGAATGATCCACATTTGTCTTACATAAGCATCTGTTGAAACGATATTAGAAATTGTTCAAAGTTACTTAAAATAAAGATTTTTAAAAGAATTTCTGTACAATTTTCTTTATTAATTATGCACTGTTTTTTATTTCACCTCTGATTGAGAAAGATTTGCATTTTATAACAGTTAATTTCAGATGAAAATCACATGGCTTTGGACGGCTCATATGAATCTCAGATGTACTGAGTTTTAATACTTGTTCCTAGTAGCCATTATCTGGATTTTTTCTTTTTATAACTTGCTGTTTTATTTATTGATCTTTTTGTAGACGTTTCTTGTTTAGCTGTTTTTTTAAGATAAACCTGATGTCCTACGTACATTGCCATAAATCATGAAACATTTTTTATTTCTGTGGCTTAAAGAAAAGCTTTTTCATTTTTTTGCAGGGTTTTATTTGGTGAAAAAAATTGATGTAAGAAGACTGCATGTGGATTGGTAAGACAAATTCTGCTTCATGATATTTAAAATTTCAAAAGCAGCGTACAGTTTTGAGGTGAACACCGCAACAGGCGTAGCTTTTCAGCAAAAAAGTTGCTTATACTACTGGCGTATATTTGCCTTACGATTATACTGGAAGAGTGCAATTTCGGGGCGGATGTGGGGTTTACTGGTCGAAAGATAGTCCAAATAATCTGGCTTTTCGTATGACTCTTTACCCTTTAACGTCTCATCGTTGCTTTTTGAATGCGATACTTCTAGCACTTCAGACGGTTTGCCTTTTATTCTGTTTCTTTAATCGTTTTATTTCATGGGCAGTCCTCGAATTAGCAGGTAGTTTGTACGATTGCTAACTGTACTTGGTTTTCTCGTAATTTTAAGGCAATTGGACAGGGTTACGAGAAAATCGTAGTGAATACTAATTTCAAGCTGTTTGAAGAAAAATATAGGACATATTTGGAACAGAAGGATTCTCAGAAAATCTCTTCCTTAACAAACATTTTTTTATATGAAAAGATATACCAGTTGCAGAAACAACTGAAGGTAATTTGTTGTTATATAGCAGAAATAAAATGATTTTTTCAATAATTATATGTTCAAATAAAGTTACGACGGTTATTTTCGGGGATTCAGCATTTTTTTCTTGGAGGTGAAAGGAACTACTGTTGAGCTTTCGAAAATTGATTATACAGACGTAAATTTTCAGAATTTTTGTTCTAGGTTGTGAAATATCAATATGTTCATGAGACAGAAAGTAACATGAAAGAAGCTGTTTTATTGGCTGAGAGAGGAACGATGTTACCTAAACGTTTCACATTGGATTTGGAATCAAACATCGTTGACAGAGACATGAAAGAAGCTGCTTTATTGGCTGAGAAAGGAACAATGTTACCTAAACGTTTCACATTGGATTTGGAATCAAACATCGTTGACAGAGATAAGGGCGTTGACTCAAACAACGCTTTAAAAACTCGGGATTTGGAAAATTGGTTAGTTTAACTTTGGATAGTAATTTTTTTTCAAATTTGCGGCTGTAGATACCAGAAAATATTTTGCTGTTGTAGGCTAGAAATGCTTAAATATTTTTTTTGATATGATGCTTAATATTCTTTCCTGACAATTTTTCATCGGAATGTTAGATCGTAATCTTTGGTATAAAGACAAGAACGTTTTTTTAGCACAGTGAGAGTACGTATTTGTAGTGCGAGGGATTCTAAAGATACCCTTAGGTATTGTTGTGTTTGGGAAGAGTGTTCGGGTACCCTGAAACCAAATCTTATGGATTTTGTATCGGGGCCCTATACGCAGAATCTTTGTCGAACTGTGATACAGGTTTTGAGGCAGGTTGGGATTTCATAATTGATTTACTTTATTCTGGGGGTTCCAATTCTGTGCATATTTCATATGATGTTGTAACACACGACAAATTTTATTTGTGCATATTGTAAAAGGCTGTTAAATTTAAGCCATGTTATACTGGGAGGGCAAGGTAGGTCTTGCTTCTTTTCAGTCGTTTTTATTCAGGCGGTAAAGACTGGAAAAAAAAGTGTTGTTATACGAATCAGGTCAAAACAGTTTCTCAAACAAGTGGTTTATTATTTACCCAAATGGCGGAAAAGTAATTGGTTAACTGTGGAAAAAAATCCTTTAAAATATTCAGAAGAATGGAAGGAATTGGACAGGTTACTCAAATTGGTTCAGGTTGGTAAATATTTTTGTTAGAACCTTCTTCTTTACCATTTTTACTAAACATTTCATTGTTATGATTACTTCAAGTTTTCGTATAAAAGTTTTAATCGAAGCTGCTGTATTATAGCTGTGTTGCTGGTCAACGTTAAATTTTGCCAGGAGACTTCTTTAACTAACTTATTTTTTGATTACATAATGCCAAAATTTATTTGATTCACTTATTAAACTAAAAAATTTTCAATTTCACGTATATAGATACTTTTTGACAACATTTTTATAAACAATTTTCTATTTTAAAATAATGTATTTCAGACAGATTGGGAGTACAGCGACATTAATGAAGAAAAACATGATGTGCGGAAGTTAGATGAAGAAGCTGATAAAATGTTGATCACTTTACTTACAGGGGACAGTTGTAACTAAGGTATTTCAAATCTGAATAATTTTTAGAATCTTGTTTATCATCGCTATTTGTACTCTCTGTAGGTATGATTTTCACCTTTTGTCGTTTATCAAAGATTAGTTCGTTTTTATAAAAACTAATTTAAAGAATTAGCACGGAAGGATAGTCACACTCATCACTTTTTTTTTGAGTATTGATAGGTTGATTTTCAAAAGTAAGGATGAAGAAGAACTGTGGAATGTTATAAAATCACAAGGTTAGAAAAAAAGTATTTGTAAGGGTTTAAAATATCTTTTTTTCAAATTTTTGGCATTTTGTCTTGACATTTCTGTTCTAATAGTCAGTTAAAAACTTATTGAGGTAAATGTGCAACTCCCCTAAGTCTCGTGTTCCGATTCATATTAAGGTGATCGACGGGGTTCTTTTGTTTATTAAATTTTATTCTATAGAGTTTGCTACAAGCAGATGTTATAGTTACATCCAGATGGGCAACATCTTCGAGTTGGAGCAGGATGACAGTCTTCGTCGGTATTACACCAGTTCACTGGATTTGCTATATTACATTTGATTCGAAGATCTTCTGCGTTTGGGCATTGGTCTGCTGGTGGTTCACAACACGACATCCCATCGGTCTGTAGACATATCTAAAATTGGAGAAACTTGCGTGAGTGTTATTTTATCCAATCAAGAATTACTGAACTCAAGTTGAAGCTGTGACACAACTTAACCGGGATTATAAGGGTTTTTTAGACTTATCATAATTTTCTCATGATAACAATTTGGCATATTAAAAGATGGTCATTTCATTTGCTTCCTACATCTCATCTTTACTACACCTATTTCCTCGGCAAATTTATTTAATTGTGTAAAGAATCGCTGGACAAGCTATTTCTGTTCTTTCAAAAAAGCATATCTAGGCATTCTTTGAATAATTAAATGACTTTGTTGGAAGGACAACTAAATTCAAGTTAATTTTATAGATTAAAATAAATTCTTGTTTTTAGGAGCGAATTATAAGAAATGACTATATTTTGTGAATACAGCTGCCTTAAATACTTTTTGGAACAAAAAATACAGTGCAGTTATGGAGGCTAAAGTCACGGATTCTTTTCGGCACTCAATCTAATGGATATGATATTTACATTTCTATGACATGAAATGGAAAATATATTTTTATCTAAAAACGAAATCATCTGTATCGTTGAGATGTTTATTCTAAAAAAGTTTTTACACGAATGAAGATATCAAGTCTATCGTTTGATTATTTGGATACTGCAATTTTGTTGAAGGATCAGTGGTAATCTTCAAGTGTTTCAACGGGAGTACAAGATGAATGTTCTGCAGATTTCATTTGTATTGTGGGCAGCACCTAATAAGTGAAACTATGGAAAAATAAAGAGGGTTCTTAGAATTGGCTGTGAAAGGCTGTTAAAGGATGATCTACAGTTGTTTCAGGTATCTGTTGGTTTTTAAAGGGGAATTGTCAGGTTAGAGCTTTGTCGACGCAGTGTTACCTACGAAAGTTATGTCGATTTAAGACCGCACAGTCTGGTTTCCTTGGAAGACCATCAATAACGGAGGGTGTTACTGTTCAGCCAAACAACTGGTAGATGGATTTGGATGGACGAAGACGGCAACTGGATCAGGTTGAGAGGGGAAGTAATAGGATGGGAATTACGTGCTGTCAAGAAGGCTATAGTTCGGTGTTCATTTGTAGGGTGGTTCACTATGATAGTGTGGCAGTGAAAGGAAGTTCAGTTAACCATTGCGGAGGATTTCTAATTAGGATTTTTTTCATGCATTTTTTTGCTAAATGTTTGAAAATAATATAACGGCAGTAAGTCATTATTTTTTCTTAAGTTTGCCAAGTATTTTTCAAGTATAATGTGCAATGGATGGGAAACAAAAACATTGATTATTTATAATTTTTAGTTTTATCTTTACTGCTAAAGGGTGCTTTTTCTCCTTGGCGACAAAAAATTCTCTTTTTTTTTTTTTTTTTTTTTTTTTTTTTTTTT